AATTCTAGGTGTAAGTTAACTGCTTTAGAGGCAGAAAGTGAGATAAAGCCTCTGGGCCAGGGAACCAGACGGTGTTAGCAGGAGAGTAGTGGCCCTGCCGGTCTTTTTATGGGTCTTACCGCCTCACCACAAGAAAAGGGAGGTCCTCTTAGGAACCAGTAACAGATCATGTCACGCCTCCGTCCAAAATCATGACGTGACCCTCATTTGGTCAAGACTAGAAGGCAGACTTTTCGTAATTGGTCTGCAAAGCCCTGCATGGCGGGGTTTCTCCTTCCTTCCCTGGTTACACACCAGACGCTCTCCTTTGTCAGCCCCACGCCCTTCTGCTTGTTTTATTTTTTCTCACGGCACTTTTCCATGTCTGACGTGTTACGTAACCGGGTGACTTTCTGCCCTCCAGGCCGGGATGTGCCATCATGAAGCCGGGATTTTACTCTTGTTTGCGGCTCCGCAGCCCAGGAGTGATGGGCACACAGCAGGAACTCAGAGCATTTGTGCTGAATGGAAGAAATTCGAAAATATATTTTAGAATTAAAATAACACAAGTCGGGCTGTCTGGAGAACCCAGTTTTCAGAACAGTGCGCTGCATGAGCCCCTCGCCATGTCACTGGGCCGCGGTGGCCTTATTTCAGGGGAAGCGAGCTTTCGGACAGCGACTTTGCGACGCCTTTATCATTTGTAACACTGTGCTCATGGCTCACTCTTTCTGGGTGCCAAGCTTCCAAATAGATTCACAGGCACAAGGTCTCTGTGTCACAGGCCTCCTTGGCCCTGTAGCGCACGTGGGCTGGATCCAGCAGTGCGGACAAGCCGGGTGTCCCTCGCGTGGCCACCCTCTGCCTCTGGCTGCCGCACATCAGAGCCAGCACACTGAGCTCTGTCACCAGGTTCTACAGCTGTAAAAAAGATGGGTATGGACTGTATGGACGTTAACGTCGCTTCCAGTATAAAGAATACATTTGTTTTTTTCAAAAAGCAATCAACCACAAACAGAATTAGAACTTATCTCAGTAACTCTTGGCTGTCGTGGAACTTACTGGGTTATTTCATAAAACCCGGAGTCCACAAGGGTACCATGGGGACGGTCTGTAGAGCCACCCTTTCACCTGGCGTCCAGGGAGGCCTCGGAAGGAAAAGCTTAGTCCGGGGGCCCTTACATCATCCAGTCATGGCTGCGTAGGGACCTTACTTCGCCGGGGAACTTGCCTTAAACCGCACAACACACACTTTGTCAGCTGATTTCCTACGAGACGGAAATCCTGGGGAAAGTGGCAAATGGTGACCGATGCTTCTGTTTCCTCCGAGCGGATCCCCTGTCTGACTTTTCCCTGGTCTCTCGCCCTCTGGACCCGGGAGCCCTGCTGGACCGCTAGTGACACAGCGAAACAGAGGAGGCGCAGAAGGTGCACGGCACGCCTCGACCGCCCACCCAGCACCGAGACGCTCCTCACGCGTAACAGGTGGGCCTGGTTCGTGGTGATATCGGTCTTTCTTCGTGTTCCTACTAACACGGCTCCATGAAGAAAACCAAAGTAGCTAATTTTCTAGAAAGCTGGAGACATTCCCTCACTGGTTAAGGTTAAGGCTAATGCTGTGTCCGTTGTCAGAACGAAACAGTTCCAGCCGGAGGTCCAGGATCCGTCACCCAGCGTTCCTGCGATGCCTTTTGTTGAGAGTACGTTTCGAGGCAAAGAACATGTCTTGGGCTCCCACCGAGACCCCTTCCACCCGGAGGAGCCTTTGTCTCACCCCGCAGGGGTCCTGCAGCCGGAGACTGCCTGCCCACCGCCAGGCAGAGTGCAGCCCGGCCCCAGCACCGCGCCGTCAGTCACTTCCGCTGGCGGAGGAGGAGGGAGAGGCGCGGGTTCGTTCCCATGGAGACAAACGTTCTTCCTGAGCAAATGATAATTCTCGAGAACTCTGCACGTACCACTTGGCTCGCTTGACAAGCACTTCTGACTTCTCCCGGGGGTCGTACTGGTTAGCGTCTGAAGAGCTCGTGACAAGCTAGATCCAGGAGCCCGTCCGCCTGGAACGTACAGCCTGGTGACGGAGGAGGCGTTCGTCACCAACAGCGAAGCCCTCCGCAGAACGGGCCTCCCCGCCCCACGCGTCCTCGGAGGCGGCGCCCGCTTCTCCCCCGCCCCCTTAGGCCCTTCCCGCCCCCGAGCCCGCGCGGGACAGGACGCAGGAGGAGACGTCAGTGAGGAGAACACGCAGTCCGAGAGCCGGGTTTAATTATGCACCGCGGTGTGCTGCCCGCAGACCAGGCGACGTGGACGACCGCATGGCCACGCTGTCTCGGCTGTTCTGTCCGGCACTGCACTTCCTAGTGGAGACCTCTCTGAACCGGGACCATGGAAGGACCTTGTCTCTGTGTCCTGTGGGAGCTGCTCCATTGAGACACTGGGCAGACAGAACAGGGAATTAGCAAAGATTATTTATAAGAATGAAAAGTGAGGATCATTCTTGGTGGTTCATAAATACATCTGAATGGCATAACATACAATGTTTTAAAGTAAGACAGTGTCTGTAGAGGGTAGGATGATCTGTGACCTTTGATGGAAGAACCCAAGCCAGCGTTAGCACCAGCACTGCTTGCACTGGGGTAACAACAGAATGAGAAACACAGTCTGCAATGGTCCTGTTCTTGTGCTGAAGCTTGGGACCTTGGTGGGAGCTGGGGCCCTGCGGGGAGGTGGACTTTCAACCCGGGTTAACAGTCTTGGGGAAGGACAGCAGAGGCGGGTTTGGGGAAGTCCAGGAGGCTCCATCCTAGACGTGAGGCGGAGGGTGACTGCCGTGGCGGATCTGCACCTGTTCTGGGCTGGTGCAGGCTTTAGAGCAAATCTGCAGAGAAAGCAATGCTACGTTCCAAACACCAAGCAGCGGTTGACTAGGAGGCTCTGAAATGGCTCTGAATGTAGAGATAAGATTATGAGAAAGTAGGTTAACACAGAGGGCAGGCAGAGCAGAGAGCCAGAGGCAGGCTCCTGCATCCTCTGGCAGGAGTTAAGTTTACGTCAGGGGCTGCCCACCAGTCTCAGGCTGCTCTGAGCCTGAAGGCTGCTGGGACACTGTTAAACTGATTTTGATAAAGAAGGTGAAAGCCTTGAATGGAGAATTGAGTACACCTCCTAACAAAACAGGGTGCAGCGGCTGTTCTGGGGAAGGCACACACCTTCTTGGATGCAACTAGCCAAAGTGACATTGGGGGGCCACCCTGAAGGCAGAGGGCGCTCCTTTCCGGGATCCAGGAGGCATGTCACAAAGGAAGCCACCAAAGGAAGTGAGGCAGTCTCACTCCTGCAGTGAGCGTCAGGCTCTCGGAAGGAGGAGCATCAAATAAAGTAACAGGACGTGAAGATGGGGGCTGGGGGTGTGTAGTGTCCTGGAAGAATCGTCTCTCAGAGACCAGCTACTTGAAGTGGCTGTACTCGGAAACTCTAAGCTAATGGCATTTTTCCATTTCAGAGACCATATGCATTCGTGACGCATGGGGGAATTATAGAGCACTGGATAAATTGGTGAAGATTATTATAAAACAAACCCCAAGTTGCTTCTACTACGATTACCATATGCATTCTGTATGGTGTTGATCGTATAGAATACAATGAGGCTTGCTTAATAGTCCAACAAGTGACATGTTGTGGTGAATATTCTATAAACACTTGAAGATAAAACATATTCTGTGATTGTTTTGTGTAGTAATTGTCTACACTTCTACTTTAAACTTTACTTGCTTACTTAGAATTGAAGGAGAAAGGTATGCGGCAATGTTACACTGTGACGATGAATTTGGCTACTTTTTCCAGTTGTTTTTCTTTTGGAGGGTTTATTTTTGGTAATTACCTTGTCAGAATTCTCTTAGCGTCTTAGATCTGTGGTCTGGTGTCTTGTATTAACTTTTGAAAATTCTCAATCTTTTTTTCTTAAAATATTTCTTTGCCCCAACACCCTGCTCTTCTTCCTCTAGGAATTTCATTACACATGTTTAGACCTTTTGACGGTGTCTTACACTCTGACTTGTTTGCTTTGCCCCCTTTTCTCTGTGCATCTGAGCTGGGTAATTTCTACTGACCTGTCTTCAAGTTCACTGATTCTTTCCTCAGCTGTGTCACTTCAACTGACGTGCGGGCTGAGGGCATTCTTCCCGTCAGCAGACTTTGTGTCATTTGATATTCTCTTAGGGTTTCCGTCTCTCTGCTGAAATTTAGACAACAGACATGTTACACATAGCTGTTTTACATCCCCTGTCTGACAGTTCCAACACGTGAGTCAGATCTGCATACGGTTCAGATGCTCACATTGTCCCACTGCATTTTGTGGATTTGTTCTCTCATTTTTTCATGCTTCATTCTTTGCTGTTGAAAGCGTAATATCTTATGTAGAACAGCAGAGCCTGGGGTAAACAGCTTTTCAGGTTTTGGGGCCTGGAAACAGGCATGACTTTCCCTCTGCTCTTGCTGTGGAGTTTGAGCTGACGTAGCTAGGAGTTACACTGCTTTGAGGACTTTCTGTTGTAACACTAAATGATGAGTCCTTGAGTACTGACATCTGAGAGCAGAAATGAAATACATTCTCTGCTTATCACACTTCTGTTCAGTATCTTACTAAAAACTCTAGCCAAGAGAGTAAGTCAAGAAAAGCAAATAGAAAGTGTCTGTATTGGGAAAAAAATGTTATCTGCATGTGCTGTTGCACGATT